CATACAGTATTAATATCTTTTAAAAATCTTAATGACTTAAATCTTTTGAACAGTATTATTGGTATTTTTTCACAATTATTATATAACTGTATTTTCCAGATTGCCTGGGCTTTGAATAAGGGCATCAAGGCTGAATTCAAGCAGTATTGGGATGTGGAGTTGGGTGTATCCTATATACCATGGTCCAAAGTAAAGATGGAGGACCTCGATGTGTTTAGAGAAGGAGGGATGCTGGACCCTGATACTCTTGCACCAGGTAACTATTGCAACCAGTTGTTAATAATTTGTCTAGGCATTGAGCTCACATTGTAACTTATTGTTTGCATGTTCCTGCACAGAATGGAGAAGCTCTCAGATTGAGCTGGAGAAGGCTGAAGAGTCTCAGAACGGCAGGCCTGAGGTGGGAAAAGTGGAGGAGAGCCCGACTATAGTACCTATGCAGGTAACTCATATTGCCCTGGTTCCTCTTCCTAAAGTTTTTAGATTTGGTCCTATTTATTCATTTTTCCTTCTTTTGTTCTTCTTCAGGTTCCTCCTGTCCAGCCAATGGGAGCAGTCAGTGTCCCACCTCCAGGATTCCCAGGACCCCTGAACATCCCACCCCCCTCTTTCCCACCTGGGGTTCCCCCACCCCCAGGTCCCTTCATACGGCCAGGCTTTAACCCCATGCAGATGCCACCAGGTACAGAAATACTAATGACACAATGTTATTAAGCGTGTTATCAGGAGGATAGATGTTTTGTTTTCAGAGAAGTATTGTACCAGTTACTAACACATTATTCTTTGTTTCAGGATTTCTCCCCCCGGGTGCCATGCCGCCTCTGGGCGCCACTGGGCCTCCTCCACCTGCAGCAGGTATCGGCATGCCTCCAGGTGGGCAGACTTTATTGTATAAACCCTACCTAATTTTGTTTTTATAGGCTTGACCAGTAAACCAGTGTTCAGTTTCTTCAAATTTCCCATCTGACCTGATTTTTTTCTGCTGTAGTTGGCAGCTCAGTTGAAGACCTGTCGAACGATCCAGCAGGTATGGGCCCAAGAATCAACAGCGATGGAACAGAGGGATTCAACTCAGGTGTGTATTTGTGTCTGTGTCTCATTAATCACAAAATATTATGAAATATATATTTAATATAGTCATGCTGTTTTTTTTATTCATGTGTCTTTGTGAAGTCATTTCATTGTTATATCATTAACTCCGCAGGAAACCAGGTGCCTCCTGGAGGTCCACCAGGGATGGGCATGCAGTCTCCACCAGGTCTTCTAGGTTCAAGGCCGGGAATGATGCCTCTCCAGCGGCCCCCAGGGATGCCGCTCCCACACATGCAGCGCTTCCCCATTCCACCTCCTCGACCTGGCATGCCACCCATCCCACCACAGATGATGCCACCCAGGGGTCCACCTCAGATGATGCACCGCGAGCCACCACCCGGGGGCTTCGGCATGCCGCCCCCTCCTCATGGCATCAGGGGCCCTTTCCCCCCTCCCGGACCTCCCTTCATGAGGCCGAGCGGACCCAGACCAGACGGGCCAAATGATCACGAGGCGAGGCCGTTCAGAGGCGAGCGCCCTGGTTTAGGGCGGGGCAGAGATCGAGTACAGGACTGGTACGTTGGGCGGCGCCCTTTTGGCGAGGGTCGTGGCGGTGAGAGGCCGGATGGTCGTGTGCGATTTGGAGGCTGGCACGAGGAGCCGGAAAAACGAGGCGGATGGGACCGAGAGAGGGAACGCAGGGACTGGAGGAGAAGTCCGGATGGAGAGAGGGATCGGGATAGAGGACGGGACGGTGAAGAACGGACGAGGCGCTCTGCAGGAAGCAGAGAGAGGAGCACACGCTGGGATCGAGATGATAGACTCGATCGACTGGGTCTCACCAGCATGGAACCCAATGAGAGACTTGCAGCAAATACCAACAAGCCCAGTGCAAACACTACTAAAGAACTTCCTGAAGACAAGCCCGATGTTCCAGCACCTTCCACCGCAGCCACAGCAGAGTCTAAAGCCTCAGAACCTATAGCAGAGAACAAAACTGCCGAACAAACACATACGGAAGAGTCATAGAGGCCTCTTTATATGTCAAGACCATATGAGCTTCTCACATGTCAGTGCTAATCTTGAATACTGCTGGCTAGAACTCAAAGTCTAATGTTGTGGGTTGCTTTATGCATATGATGCTTGGTTCCTCATCCCAAACCAAGTTTTTCAGACTTTATAAAGCATCTTTCGGCAAACGTGGAGCGTTGCCTTGTGAATTTATTGTCCCACCTCAGTAAAGCTTGAATGTTGTATTAAGACTGAAGATAAGGAAAAGAAACAATTAATGATTCTGCTGTAAATATGCTAACATTACTCGAATGATGTTTGTAGATTTTGACTGGCCGTTTTTGGTTTTTACTTTACAATGATATCCCTGTTTAGTTTTAGTAATGGAAACATTGACTAAAATAAGATATTAAGACCCTTTTGCTGTAATGTTTTTAACTTAATGTTTACAACATACAAAAAAAAAACAAGATGTTTTTATAATTTTTAAGTTTTTGGAGATAGGAACTCCAAATATTTCAGCGATAGGAATTTGGTTTTAATAAAATATTTTCATACCAAATGAATGAACTGACTAATATGCAAGTTGTTTCAGTCTTTTTAACATTTACCCTAGTGTTTTATAAATATTTGTGCAAACTAGTCATAAGGTTATCAAGTTTAAAGCTAATCATCAATAAACATATTACTGTTTACTGGGCCTTATGGCATATACAACCATATTGTGGTATTTATCTTGTGACTCTACTTCCAAAACATTTGTCATGGTTTGAATAGGACATCTACAGTATATCTATATGAATGGGTCCTGACTGTGGAATTAGAGGACAGCATGTGACTATGTCAAGGTCAAAGTGACAACCATGTTCTTTGATTTATCAATTGCAATATCTTTTCTATATGAGCATAATACATTAGAACGTTTAAGAGGTTGGTATATAAGTATAATAATTTGAAGGAAACACTCATTCACTGTAAATATGTATTTGCCTTTACTGTAGATGTTGTGCTATAATGCATATAGAAGACGTTTTTCTCCTTTCTTTGAAACATTTTTAAATCTAAAACTACTACATACTGTAACAACTACAATGAGAAACAAATAAACCACAAAAAATGGATAATTAAAAGCAATAAAATAATTTTTTTTTCATATACAACCATATTGTGGTATTTATCTTGTGACTCTACTTCCAAAACATTTGTCATGGTTTGAATAGGACATCTACAGTATATCTATATGAATGGGTCCTGACTGTGGAATTAGAGGACAGCATGTGACTATGTCAAGGTCAAAGTGACAACCATGTTCTTTGATTTATCAATTGCAATATCTTTTCTATATGAGCATAATACATTAGAACGTTTAAGAGGTTGGTATATAAGTATAATAATTTGAAGGAAACACTCATTCACTGTAAATATGTATTTGCCTTTACTGTAGATGTTGTGCTATAATGCATATAGAAGACGTTTTTCTCCTTTCTTTGAAACATTTTTAAATCTAAAACTACTACATACTGTAACAAGTACAATGAGAAACAAATAAACCACAAAAAATGGATAATTAAAAGCAATAAAATAATTTTTTTTAAAATTACATCCTCACTAAAAATAGAAAGATGATTTCGAAACAGATGTTTTTAAAGCTTTTTACTCTTAGACCATTTTAACGACGTAAGATATTTAATTTCCTTCATAAAAAAAAGAAGTCTAGAATTTGTGCATAATATAAGGACAACACGTCACTTCCGTATGATAGCGTGACACGCCAGACTGACCCAATCACCGCCGACGGGTCTCTTCTGCCACCTGATTGGACAGCTCGGCTCACGCGCCTCCTCTCTCATCAAACACTCTCCATTTCTTTCACTTTCAGTCACAACTTTACAGTTTGCTTAGTTCAAAGACAGCATGGTGGTGAAGAAGAAGAAGGCAGTTTGTGTACTTAAAGGCACCGGGGAAGTGACCGGCACTGTTTATTTCGAGCAAGAGGTAAAAAAAGGTGATATTTTTTGCGGCGTTTGTTATGACGTTCCTGTAGCAGCGGGAGAGCAGCGAGCTAGCCTGCAGCTAACGGCGCGCAGCATGGCATATTATGTACTCCATAATTTAGGAGTCCACGCATTAGCTTGACATGCTTATGCAGTTGCATGGGATTAGCTGTGCTAATCTCATGCAGATATTGATGACCAAATTTGATATTAAACTACAGTGGCCTGTTATACATTTCACTTGTTGACTGACTTCTGTACAATGTTACATTGCATAAATGCGTTAGAACCGTTAAAAGCGGCTCAGCAATGACCTTTGATACGATGGCAGGTCTGCGTTTAGTATGCGCCCCCGTGCTCACCCATGCTGATTATTTGCACGCACGCATGCATGCCAATGATGAAACTGTTATGCGTTTGCAGCGTTCTGAAGCGTTTGGTGGCAGACTGTGGTGTCATCGACTTCACCTTGACATTCTCATGAAATTATAACTAGAAGGGACAAGTTTGCAGAGTCATGCTTCTCTGTCTCTTTTTGTTTGCTGTCAAAATTGCCAAATAGGACAGCGATCAAGGCACACTTTAAATGCTGGCAAAGCCTCAAACTGTAACGTTACTGGTGTAAAAGCATTTCATTGCCGTCGTAAATCTGATAATATTTATATACTTGGGCGACTTTCAAAAATGTCCTGAACGTCTTAATTTGCCCTTTCACTAATTAAATCTTGAGCAGCCTTATTCATAACCATGGCATTAAATGTTACATGCATTGAAAAAAATTCTAAACATCCTTTAATCAATATTTCCTTGAGATGCAAAATGAAGATATGAACTGAGAAATTGAGTTTGATTAAAACATGAGCAAATATGTCAATGGAATATAAAAACTTTTTTCTTTTTGAGTTAAGCTTTTTGACCTACTTTTTTTAGATGGGCTATTTGTTCTTGTTTTAATCATAATCTCACTTCATCGGAAAACAAGATTTCTTATCTTGCCATTTTCCATGTATCTTGATTTACAAATATTTAGACATTTGCACTGGAAAACAAGACAAAAACACTGAGGAAGAACATTATTTGTTACAGTGTGTTTAGTAGATAAAGTAAAAATTATTTCCGTTCTATCAGTTGTGAGCAGATCTATCCAAGCCTTAAGCTATTAAAAAATGTTTTCAAAAAAGTGATTTCTGTTAAATAAAATATCTCCTTTTGAAGTTAACTTTGTAACTTTGCAGATAATTTTTATGCTCAGACAGCAACATTACAGACTAAGTAAAGTTGAAAAAGTGAAAAAGCATAATAGGACCCCTTTAAAGTTGTTTTCAAGCTTTGAATTGTTGCTAAAGCAGCTCATTGTGTGCTTCCCAGACATACATTTACTCATTGTGTGCTTCCCAACATATTGTGCTCCCTTCAATTTATTCCTGACATATTCTTGATCTTAAAGTTTTAAATTTACCTTTATAAAACCTGCAGAAACCCTGTCAAGTATTTACATTTAAGCATTTGGCAGGTGATTTTATTTCACTTGCATTACATTGCAGGTATACATTTGATCAGTTCCTGCATTCCCTGGTAATCAAACCCATGACTTTGGTGTTGTTTGCACCATTCACAATGCCAAACAGTAAATGCTTCTGTTGTTTGAAGTGATATGAAACCATCATCGACCAAATGAGTGATCTGTTTGTTTTAGAATGACGGGTCTCCAGTGAAGCTCTCAGGTGAAATCACTGGCCTTACTCCAGGAAAGCATGGTTTCCATGTCCATGCTTTTGGAGACAACACAAACGGTAAGCACCGTTATTACTCCTGTCACTGACCTTAAAGTACAGCTTAATCCCATTACGACTGATGACTTTTACCTTAAACCCCTAGATATGTCTTTATTTTGAACACAGACATAAACCATTTTGTTTCCTCACAGGCTGCATCAGTGCAGGTCCGCACTTCAACCCTCACGATGAAACTCACGGTGGACCAACTGATGGTGTCAGGTGAGTTTAGCAGTGTGCTGTATGGCACGACCCCTTTACGTGTTTCCTAATCTCTATATTTGGTGAAAAGCTAATTTTTATGATCTATTCGTGGTATAGGTCACAGTAAAACTCTACCTGCCCACAAAGTTGTCATATATCTAAAGAGCAGTACTTCTTAAATAGTGTTCTATTACTTTTGTATTCAGTAAGATATTGCAATGTTCAAAGAGCACAGAGGACTATAATAATTTGTCTGTTAGCTGTCCTGTTCATCTCATTTGTGGTTACTCAGTTATTTACAGGAGTTAATCAACTGAGCTATAAATGTGATGATTATTTTGAATCCACAGTAAATGACAACTTAAAAACGTTGATGGCAAAACAGTCCCAAACCCTTCATTATTGACTATATTGAACTTTGAGATCAAATTAAAACGAGTAAATTTTACGCTTTTAAGGGCATTATATTTTACTGAGCAATAGTTTGTTGGTATATATTTCTTAGGGCTGGGTAAAAAAAATATTGGTTTCCCAATTTTAATCGATTCTCATTTTTATGAAACGATATCGATTCTTAAATCCCAAGAATCCATTAGTCTAACCTGTTTTCAGTTAAATGAACGGAACATTATAGCACAAAAAAATGGCAATAAGCTTGGTTACTTTTGATATGAAACAAAGTCTTAGATTTCAAATTCTGTCCATTCTGTGTTCAAACAATAAATGCCGTTTTGGTGCCGTTTAATGTGGAGTGACAGATCGCTGTAGCGCCTCGGTTCAAGAGAAGCGGCAGCACGAAGCACACGTGAACTGATCATTTCCTTCACTTTAATACCAGTTTCAGCACGAAATAAACTTGAAAGAAATCCAAAGGTATGTTAAAACAAAACCTCAGGGAAAATTTGGTGACTATAAACTCGTTGGGTGATTTACGTTTGAATCCAAACCCTTCATTATTGACTATATTGAACTTTGAGATCAAATTAAAACGAGTACATTTTACGCTTTTAAGGGCATTATATTTTACTGAGCAATAGTTTGTTGGTATATATTTCTTAGGGCTGGGTAAAAAAAATATTGGTTTCCCAATTTTAATCGATTCTCATTTTTATGAAACGATATCGATTCTTAAATCCCAAGAATCCATTAGTCTAACCTGTTTTCAGTTAAATGAACGGAACATTATAGCACAAAAAAATGGCAATAAGCTTGGTTACTTTTGATATGAAACAAAGTCTTAGATTTCAAATTCTGTCCATTCTGTGTTCAAACAATAAATGCCGTTTTGGTGCCGTTTAATGTGGAGTGACAGATCGCTGTAGCGCCTCGGTTCAAGAGAAGCGGCAGCACGAAGCACACGTGAACTGATCATTTCCTTCACTTTAATACCAGTTTCAGCACGAAATAAACTTGAAAGAAATCCAAAGGTATGTTAAAACAAAACCTCAGGGAAAAATTTTTTTTCTTACATCGGTGACTATAAACTCGTTGGGTGATTTACGTTTGAATAAATCCGTCGAGTTTTTATGACAGCCATCATTTAAATGTTTATATTTCAAAAAACGAATTGAGGTAGAAATATAATTATG